CTGGCCTCCAAGGAGCACTGTGGCTGCACTTCTTCCAGCACAGATCAGTTGGTTCTTTAGGCAGCCCATGGCACTTTCAATATTCTCTTCCAACACTATAATCAAATGCATCAATTCTTCTACGATCTTCCTTATTCACTATCCAGCTTTTGCATGCATGTGAGGTTATTGAAAATACCATGGCTTGGGTTAGGTGCACCTTGGTTTTGAAGCTGACATCTTTGCTCTTCAACATTTTAAAAAGGTCTTGTGAACTAAGTAGTTATTATTATATACTTGTGACACACATAAGATAGACCTTCTGTGGCATGTTGGACAGTTAGAAGAGAAAAACTTTCCAGTAGTTACATAAAGTATTTACCTTTCTATTCATTAAATTATATATTATGTTCTTTTACAGTTCAAACGTTATGTCAGTAAACTTCGAAGCAAGAGCACAGTTTTCAAAAAGAAGCATCAGATAATAGCTGAATTTAAAGCTGAATTTGGTCTCTTACAGAGGACAGAAGAACTTCTTAAGCAACGTCATGACAATATCCAACATCAATTGGTAACGCAGTATTATCTCGGGCTGCTAAAAATAGAGATGCCAGACGTTTTTGGGTTACAGTTTTATACTGAGGTCATTGTTTTTACTGGAAAAACCATAAAATTATTCATTTTCTCTGATTAATTACAGAGATGTCATATAAGCTGATTTCATTTATTTTGAGTGGATCAGTAAGCATTAGCTTTTTTGTGTGTGTTAACTTTGGGTTTATTAATAGAAATTGAATTTATAATGTGTTTTATTTATTTATTTTGGTTTGCTAGTTAATATAAGTAAAATTGTAATATCTAGAGAGTGAGTGATTTGTCATGGCCTGCTGGACAAAAATTTCTAACCAGCTCTTTCCAAGGAGCTTTGGAAAGAAGTATCTAGGGAAAGAGCTATGGGGAAGTTGCCTGCAAGATTGTTTTTTACCTCAACCAACACCACCCTAATTCTAGTGCTTTTATGTCTAGCTTGGATTATTAGAAGAGTCTCCAGGCTAACTTCTCTCCTCCCACCTCTGCCTCTATAGAGTCAGCATAGATTAGTTAACACTTCTTCCTCTTCCAACCGTTCAGGAGCCTCTCTCATCAATTGAAATACATCAGAGCACTTTCATTAGTTAAAAAATAGGGCAATGATATACTTTATCATCTAAAGTAGAGCACTTTGTAAACTTTCACACAAATCCCAATGAAAAGTTAAAAAAAAAAGAAGAAGTAGGGCACTATATTAGAAGTGAACTTGCATAGTAGTCTTAAACTGAAAGTGTCCCGGCACACCATTCGGAGCCTTATGTGATCCTCTGCTCATTCCTGCCTCTTGCTTACTACTCCTTCCACCACACTTGCCTCCTGAGGGCTCTCTACTTGCTGATCCCCCAACATCTATATGGCTCACTCCTTTCTTCCTCCTTGCCTTTCTTCAAATGTCACGTGATTCTCAGAAAGCCTTTCTTTCACTCACTCGCTGCGGTCACATTGATCCCTACTCATAGCGAAGCCTAGATAGGACAAAGGAGAGCTGCTCCTTAGGGTTTCTGAGACTAAATCTTTATGGGAGCTGACAGCCTCATCTTGCTTCTTGTGAAGTAGCTGGTGGAATTGAACTTCCAACCTTGTGATTAGCAGCCTCGTGTTTAGCTTACAATGCCACAAGGGCTCTTTAGATTTTCTCAAACCACTATTTAAGATTCCAACCCCATTCTCACTTCATACTCCCTAGGTTTTTTATGTGTTTACTTATATTTTGTTTGTTTACCTGTAGTGGGGAGTTCTGGTATGGCACAGTAGGATAAGGACTGGATTGATGACCACAAGGTTGGTGGTTCAAACCCACCAGCAGTTCCTTGGAAACCCTATACAGGGTCGCTGTGAGTTGGAACCAACTTGACAGCACTAAACAACACCAACCCCCACTAGATATGAGCTCTGTGAGGAAAGACAGTTGTGTGTGTTTTTTACCACTGTCACGTTTGGTGCCTAGACCTGTGCTTGTCACATTTGTTGTTGTTGTTAAGTGCTGTCAAATTGGTTCCAACTGATAGTGACCTTGTATATAGGGTTTCCAAGGAGCAGCTGGTAGGTTTGAACAGCCGACCTTGTGGTTCACAATCCAATGCTGATCTTACAGCACTATGCTGGGAGCCCTTGCCACATTTAGGTATATAATAAATATTTATTGAGTAAATGGATGCAAGTACAATTGGTAACTTGGAAAACCATTTAGTCCCCTAGCATTTAATGTGTGCCTACTATGTTTTCAATTCTGTGTTTAAGTGCATGACATTATTCTAAAGTTTAAAATTACATATGCTTCCTATGCACCTAAAGATATCACAGGAAGATTAGTGTAGCTATTTAGCCTATAAAAGCATGTAATCATCATTGAATCCAATAAAGATTATCCTTTAGGATTCTAGACTGTTATTTTATTTAGAACTTTATCTGATGTCTTCTTATGGAAACCGTAAAATTTTTAGACACTAGTATCGTGGCCATTTCGTTCTTCACTTACAGCAAACTATTGAGGAGAAGAAGGGTATATCTGGGTACAGTTACACCCAAGAAGAGCTTGAACGAGTGTCTGCACTGAAAAGCGAAGTGGATGAGATGAAAGGGCGGACGTTGGATGACATGTCTGAAATGGTGAGTCTGCAGCTGGTGGCGTTCCTTTCTTGTATAATCAGAAGGCGGATGTTTTTTAGAAGTTTTTGTTAGTAACACATTCAAACTTTATTTTTGCACAATTTTTTGTTCATTTAATATTCTTTCCTCTACCTTTTTCCAATCTCTTGAATTTTCTCTTTCTACTAAGGTTTTTTAACATCTAACAGTTCATACACTTGTCTGTTTTCAAAGTACGTGAAAGTTATAAAACGTTAAACAACAATAAGATTAATAATAAAATTAGTTTTTCCAAGTCATGCCACCATGTGCCATAGAATAATTTCATTTTGAGGTGTATCCTTGGTGTCTGCCAACTGTCTGGGCAGTCAGACTGCTGACAGGCTTTTCACTGTGTCAGGCTCCAGAGTGTCCGAGTATAGATCGATGCTGACCCATAGTCCCGAGTGCAACCCTCTGGCTTGTTTGGTCATGATGGCCATACCCCCAGGACTTTCTGATGTCCCCACAATCTAATTCATTAGAAGATCAATATGTAGCAGAGCAGAAGTCTCTCAGACCTTGTTCATCCGTGACTGGTGCCTATTCTGACTGGCCAGTATTTATGTTGTCATCCAAGTATGTTGGCATCCAAGATTGCGTATATTTGAGATAACCTATGTAATTGTACCACCACTCGTCTGTCAGTTTGTCATATCATTGTGACTTGTGAGTTGCTGTGATTCTGGAAGCTATGCCACAGGTATTTTAAATACCAGCATAGTCACCCACGGTGGACAGGTTTCAGATGAGTTTCCAAACAAAGAAAGAGTAGGAAAAGGGTGAGATGAACTACTTCTGAATGTTTAGTCACTGAAAACCTTATGAAAAGCAGAGAAACACTGACAAGAAATGGGCCCCTCAGGTTGGAGGATACTCAAAATGTCACTGGATAAGAGCTGCCTCCTCAAAGTAGAGTTGACCGTGATGACATGAATGAGGTAAAGTGTGTGGGAGAAAAGCCCGCGGGACCTTCATTTGCTGATGGGGCACAACTCAAAATGAAGAGACACAGTTGTAAGCATCCATTAATAATCAGAACATGGAATGTACGTACGAAGTATGAATCTAGGAAAATGGGAATTGTCACAAATGAAATGAAACGCATAAAAATTTAGAAATTAGAAATTAGGGAGCCAAAATGGACTGTTATTGACCATTTTGAATCTGACAAACACATAGTTTACTATGCCAGAAATGACAAATTGAAGAGGATTGGTGTTGCATTCATTGTCAAAAAGAGCATATCCAGATCAGTCATGAGGTACAACGCTGTCCGTGATAGGATAATATCCATGCGCCTACAGAGAGTCATGGTGTTGGAGGAGAATACTGAAAGTGCCATGGGCTGCCAAAAGTACCAAAAGATCCATTTTGGAAGAAGTGCAGCCAGAGTGCTCCTTGGAGACCAAGATGACCAAACTTCATCTCTCATACTTCAGACATATTGTCAGGAGGGACCAGTCGCTGGAGAAGGATATCATGTTTGGTAAGGTGGAGGGTCAGAGAAAAAGAGGAAGACCCCCAATGACATGGATTGGCCAAGTGGCAGCATCGATAGACTCGTGGCAACAGTAGTGAGGTTGGCCCAGAATTGGGCAGTATTTCGTTCTGCTATGCATAGGGTCGCTGTGAGTCAGTGCCAATTTGATGGCACCTAACAGCAACAGAGAAGCCCAGTTAATACCACTATTATTCAAATTTACACACCAAACACTAAAGCCAGTGAGACTGAAACAGAAGAATTCTACCAACTTCTTCACTCTGAAATTGATCAAACATGCAATCAAGATGTAGTGATCATTACTGGTGATTGGAATGCAAAGGTTGGAAACAAAGAGGAGGGATCAATAGTTGAAAAATATGGCATTGGTGATACAAATGATGCAGGAGATCACATGATATAATTCTGCAAAACCAATGATTTGTTCATCTCAGATATCTTCCTTAGACAGCACAAGAGACAGTAACACATGACCTCACTAGATGGAATACACAGAAATCAAATTGACTACATCTGTGGAAAGAGACAGTGAAAAGCTCCGTATCATCAGTGAAAACAAGGCCAGGGGCAGACTGTGGAACAGACCATCAATTACTCCTATGCAAATGCAGACTGAAGCTGAAGGAAATGAAAACAAGTCCACGAGAGTGAAAATATGACCTTGAATATAATCACACCTGAATTTAGAGATCATCTGAAGAACAGATTAGGTATATTAAACACTAAAGACTGAAGACCAGAAGAATTGTGGCATGACATCAAGAACATCATACAGGAAGAAAGCAACAAGTCATTAAGACAAGAAAGAAGGGAAAGGTCAAAATGGATGTCAGAAGAGACACTGAAACTTGCTTTCCAGCGTAGAGATGCTAAAGCAAATGGAAGAAATGGGGAGGGACAAGAGCTGAATTGAACATTTCAAAGGTCATTTCAAGAAGACAAAGTCAAATGTTACAACTAAATTTGTAAAGATCTGGAGTCAGAACACCAAAACAGAAGAACACGCTCAGCATTTCTCAAGCTGGGGGAACTGAAGAAAAAGTGCAAGCCTTGACTTTC